TCCTGGCAGTGATCATAATGCAGGAATTAACTCCTCTCATCAGCTTCTGTGACAGCACCTACTTCACTGTAGAGAGCTTCTGGTTTCAGAACAAAGATGCGCAGAGTCCTTAGGACTTTTACCAATCAGCCAGTACAAGGTAGAGTACCAGGGATGAACAAATAAGGATGTCACCTACCTACACTTCAGGGATAAGAATGACAAACTTGTTACATAGAGGTAGTCTAGTCATGATACCTGAAAGTACCTAGCATCTAAAATCCATTTCTAAGCAAATTTCCCACATACATGCTAACTTTATACACAAACACACGCTATTCTACTTATCAAGCATGGACAGTCACTTCATGTGTGGGTTTTTCAGACACAATCCTGCCTTACCCCAGATTCTTCAACTGAATTCCCAAACACAGGAGGTTATTTGAGTGACTCTTCTCTATCCTCCCATGGACAATACAGGATATGGACCATCTTACGTCCTTATCTGTACACAACAGATGCTGTAGGGTACTCAACACTGGCTGAGAAACATGCCAGAGTAATTTCATATGACTGCTGGTCACAAACATGGCAAAATGCTGTCAGCATACATGTACTTCCGTACACGTGCGTGTATACACATACACACTTTCCCTGAAATGTCCTTTTTTATGAGCTCTTAACGAAAGGGAATGCTTTACTTCCAAAATCTTGCTAGAGGGGAAGAAAATAATCATTTACATTCATGTGAGGAAAAAGACATTTTTTTTCTATTTGAAAAACGTAGCAGATACAAATCTTTTGTCATTCCACAAATTGTTACTCATGCCAAAATAGCCTGTTGTCATGAAGAATACTAAGTATGCATTATAGGCAAGTTAGACCAAATGCCTTCCTCTAGAGTATCTGGAAAAGTATTTCCAACTTTGCAGTTAATCAACAAATAGTTCTCAGATATCACCCTATTGGTGTGAGAGGACTACACACACACACACAGACACTCAGCAATTTGCATTATTGCCAACTGATTGCTAATTATTTTCCTTCACTTAAATGGATTGATTTAAATCCCTGGTGTAAAACAAGTTGATGAGTTGTCTCATCATTTAGTTTTGGTCACTAGTTTGCAGTTAGAATTCTCGTGTATAATCATACTTCATAATAAGGCAGAGTTTAAGAAGGAATTCTCATTTGGAGACAGCCAGCTAGGAGTCAGGCTTGGTGCCAGGTACTTTGTACAGATAATCTCACTGAATGCCCATTAGCATTATAGCTTCCTCTTCCAGGATAAAAATGTGAGACTCAAGTTCACACCGACATTGGCAAAACCAAAATTCCAACAGAGCTCCATGGCTCCTCCTCTGGGGTTGTTCCTGGACTCAGCTTTATCTCTCCCCCCACATGATTACTAGAGATGACATCAGGACATTTTTCAGATTTCTAGCCCCTACTCTTCAGCAATTTGTGCCAAAATATGATCACCTTTAACTTTTCTTCCATATAAGAAAAAAAAATGACAGACAATAAGAAGTTAAAATCATAAATGATACTACAAAGTTGACCGAATGTACAGCATTCCCAAAGAGCTGGGTGTCCATGTGTCATAAGAAAAGGTTAAAATTCAAAAAGCTAAAGTCTACTGTCCTTAAAATACAGTGCTGGAGGAAACAATATCAAATAAAATATAGTCAGATGATTTAACTATGTTCATTTATTCTCAGATTATGCTGACTATATCAACTTGGACCAGAAACATTTTGCTCCTTCATTTGAAATTTCACTGATGATCCTTAATTAGGTTCTCCAGAACTAAAATACTTGTCCTCAAGCCTCAGCTAGAACTAATGTCTAGGGCTCACTATCCCATGTAACCTCCACAAATCCCCTGCCCCCTCTCCCACATCACTATGAGTATTTCTTCCTTGCTGGCCTGGAGGAGCCTCATTGGGAAGGAAGGAACAACAATGAAAGTATTTTCCTTTGTATAAAAGCACAGTGTAGAGGCACTTTAACAATAGAAGAAAGTCATTTTGCTAAGCCTCTTTCAAACAAAGCATTAATATTTATTAACTTGCACTCTGCTGTAGAATAAGAAAGAAAAAGAAATGACAGGCAATAGGAAGTTAAAATCATAATTGATACTGCACAGTTGACCAAATCTACAGTATTCCCAAAAAGCTGGGACTCCATGTTTCATAAGAAAAGGTTAAAATTCAAAAAGCTGTCCTTAAAATACAGTGGTGGAGACTATGAAGCTAGTTGCAGCTTCAGCACAAGTTTGATCCCTGGCCAGGGAGGTGACCCACATGGTGCAGTAGACCTCTTCTGTCTCACCCCCTGCTCCCCTCAGCAGTGTACTTTGTCAATCTGCCTATTCTGCTCCCCACTCTGTCTCTATTGAATCTTCTCTGTTGAGCCACCCACTGCATTGCTGACCTGTACCCCCATTCTGTATGCATAAATAAATCATAAATTACAGTGCTGGAGAAAACAATATCAAACAATAAAATGGGAATCTCAACCACAAGCAACCTACTTGTCCAGCGATAAAGGACGTAAGGTGGGGTGAGCTATCCACTGTCTCTCTATTTGGGGGAACTTATTCACTCATCAGACAAGGGAATAATTGAATACTGTTCCATGTGATTATGAAAACAAAAATCAGAAAGTATGGGCTTCCTGTATCAATAAGAGCCAACTAAAATAAGCTGTGAATTAATGTTATCTGAATGGTACATTAACAAATAGGACAGATAGCAAAAGGACTGAAGGATATTTCTCAAGCTCAGAGTTACACATTATAAATTTAGATTACATAAATTCTCAAAGAATTCAGAAAAATATTTTTTTCCTTCAGTTTTAACAAAGCATGTCTGTCTCAACAGTTTTCTTATCCATTCACTATTTATCAAGTAGATTCTCTTTGCCAGGCACATACAAATGTTGGGTTTGGAAATCAGCATTAAGGTCTAAAATTTCACTTTTATGAGATATTTACTGCTGAAGATTGCTCTTGCCAAATAACTTTGTAATTCTTGTAACACATCATACTTACTAAAGATTTTTATGGTGAACTATTATATTGAAAAGCACCTTGACTCCATAGTTAATGATTATACCACCCAAAGGCACAAAAATAAAAACCCAGTAGGGTTGTTTTTTTGTTTTTGTTATTTTTCTGTTATGTCAATTTCAATGATTTCACTATAGGAATAAATACCTTGGGGGGTGTAATAATGAGCTTGATGGATGGTCCTTTTCATCCTCTTGGGAGATATGTCTTCCTAAGTACTGTATGAGTAAATTTCCAGCACATCATCTTACTCCAACAATATTCAAGCAAGCTAGCAATGGGGATTAAGGCAGACCTTGGTATGAATTCTGGTTCTGTACAGTAAACTGTTAGAATGCCTCCTTTACCTGTTTGTGTAAGTATAACAGCATTTACTTTGTAAGATTGTTACAAGAAACATAGATTATGTTTCTAAAGCAAGAAGCTCACATTAGTTTTCGCTTTTCTTTTTGCCTCAAAACTTTGACTACACTGAGAATCGCTGGTGGTATAATTCATGATGAAATTAAAGTAAGAATGAAGTAAATAAGATGAAAGAGATGAGCATTTTGAGTCTACTTCATCTTAGTTTCATGAAACAGTTATTTTTACATTCAACATTTCCACTTAAAGTGTCTAATAAGAAATACTGATTTTAAATGGTAGACTTAAGTTACTGTCTAGCGTGAACAGATATAACCTCCACATATTGTCAGCCCCCACCATTCTCCAGATCATTCTGCTTTAGTGCCTGTTACAGTAAGGGCATCATGAAGAGGCAAAGGAAAGAAACAAACTATATTTAAAAAATAGCTTTGGGGCCCTCCCTGGTGGCCCAGTAGGTTAAAGCACAGGACTAAGAAGTTAAGGTCTCTTCAGCATTAGTTCCATCTCCAGCCAGGGAACTGACCCACATGGTCCGGCAGACCTCTCCTGACCCGCCCACTGCTCCCTTCAGCAGTGTACTTTGTTAGTCATCCTGTTCTGCTCCCCACTGTCTCTGGTGAATCCTCTCACTGCCCCTGCACCTTTGGCCTGTACCCCAGTTCTGTATGCATAAATAAATCTTTTTTTTTTAAATTATAATACCAAGACCTTCTTATAATTTTAAATACTTATTTTAAAACAGATAATTCTTGGGCCCTCCCTGGTGGCACAGAAGGTTAAAGTACAGGATTAAGAAGCTGAGGCCACTTCAGCATGAGTTTGATCTCCGCCCTAGAGGTGACCCACATGGCATGGCAGACCTCTCCTGACCCACTTGCTGCACCCCTCAGCAGTGTACTTCATCAGTCGGCCTGCTCTGCTCCCCACTCTGTCTCTTGTGAATCCTCTCACCCCCCTGCATCTCTGGCCTATACCCCAGTTCTGTATGCATAAATGAAATCTTTAAAAAAAAATAGCTTTGGGCCCTCCCTGGTGGCGCAACGGGTTGGGGCACTGCACTGAGAAACTAAAGCCACTTCCGCATGAGTTCGATCCCCGCCTGCCCCGGAGGTGACCACATGGCGTGGCAGACCTCTCCTGACCCGCCCGCTGCTCCCCTCAGCAGTGTACTTCATCGATCTGCCTGTTCTGCTTCCCGCTCTGTCTCTGGTGAATCCTCTCACCCTCCGTATCTCTGGCCTGTACCCCAGTTCTGTATGAATAAATAAATAAATCTTTAAAAAAAAAATAGCTTTGGTTCATCAGCAGCTAAAAATAAAAATTAACCTCAAAATGAAACAATCCTTCACACACCAACTTTCTAGTGCAATAAACACATGAATTCAGTTACTGTAGGAACCCCGAAAATAAAATTATCCTTTCAGCATCATCTTACTTTGAAACATCTATCACAAGTTTGCCTCTCTCCATGTTGACTGTACTTTCACCATATTGGAGAATGGATTTCCCTTCTCTATTTCCTCCCTTTCCAATTCTCCTTTTCACCTTCTGTTTCCTTTTCTCTGATTTCTCTTTCCTGCAGGTTGTCCGGCCATACCAGACCATGTCCAACCCCATGAGCAAGCTCACTGTTCTCAACAGCATGCATTCCCACTTCATTCTGGCTGACAATGGAACCACTGGGAAATACGGAGCAGAGGTGAAACTTAGGAGACAACTGGAAAAGCACATTTCGCTCCAGAAGATAAACACAAGTAAGTGGGCTCTCATTCCCCTGCCATACATCTGAGCAATGTGCCATTCAGCAGTTATAAAAACTGGAGCCCATTTCAGACATGAATCATTATGTGTAATGGGTCAGTAGTTAGAATGAGAGGAAATTGCTAGTGGAGGACGCTAGTAAAAGTGGTTAGACTATGATGGACTCGAGCTCATGTATCAGGCATGAAAAATTTAACCTTGTCTGGGGCTTGTGAGTACAGATAATGTTTTCACTCCAAAGTTTAGCTCCTTTCTCAAAAAAATATTCTGAGGCACCCAGATAAATTGCTTTTATCTATCAGTCTATTTTTGGTGGCTTAAAAACATATTAATTTTGATCTTGGCACAGATCTGGCTATACAAAGACATTTCAAGGGAACTGCCGTTCTCTAAACTTGAGCAACATGTGCAAGCATCTTACTGAAACTTTAATCCTGTCTCTTCATGTTATATATGCATTCATTGATTCTAGATATGGACTTAGGTACCTCTGGGTATATGAAAGTGTCCCACATACTACACATCTATGTTTATACTAAAATTATCTCATTAGCGCTTATGTGTTTAATAAGTGGCTCCATTTACAATAATCTAGTGTCCTTCCTCACAAATTAAACTTCAGTTTGTCTGAACAAGGTAACATCTGAGGTTTGATGATCAGCGCCAGTAGTGATAATTATACCTCCCACCAGGGAGATTTGGATCTCATGGATTCAACTTTCAAAGCATGGATTCCAAACAAAGAAAAGTTTCTCTTTAGAAGATAAGTTTTCAAAAGCTCTGTGGGCCAGCATTCAACTTATCCAAAGGGCTTTTCTCCACATCTGTCTCAAATGGGTCTTCCTGCCTGAACTCACCTTTGTCCAGAGCTGGGATGTTCTGCCTACCTGATTACCATTTATTTTCCCCAAGCCTCTCCTTTCTGGTTTCATCTTTCATGAATGACTTCTATTTAGACAGCCAAGTTTCATGCTTTCATCTTTTTCACAAGGAAAGCCGGGATAATAAATATCAATATAGGTCTGAAGTCAAAATTGTATTAGGAAACCCTCTTCTCTCTAAGAATTCCTGATGACTTTTAAAGAGAGAAAAGATGGCACTATCCACAGGGAGACATCTTTGGGGAAATAATAGGATGACTAGAAAATTGACCCTGAGGCCAGCAGAGACTAGAAGTGGCAAAGCACTATACCGAGAAATGAAGATTTTTAGTACCAAAGTTACATTTTATTATATTTGGTATAATAGGTAAGTGATATATATTGAGAGTTATCAATTTCTATTTTTATAGGCTATAAAAACCTTTCTTACACCATGAGGTTAGGAATAAAATCTTAAATAGGTGTGACCTGAAAACACAGTGATGGAACCAGGGAGATAGGGAGTAAATTTCAGGTCAAGTTCAAAGCTGAGTAAGGAGATGAGATCTGTCCAGAAAAGCATTGCATATCTTTGTGCTGGGCCCTTGTAGCAACTGGCCCCCCAGTGTCATTAGTGTTAGGAGAAGAGCTGGTGTGTGGTAGTGAAAGCTACACACCCAGCCCAGGTGGGACCTGCAGGAGTTAAAACACAGCTTGGGCTGCTGGCCACGCCCTGAGCCTTACAGGCTGACCCTGGAAAGGAGGTTTTATTCTAAATGTTCAGACATAGTTAATTATACATGCGTCTTGAGGGGCCCCGTATCCAAAGCTCATGAAAGTACAAAATGTAGGGGAGGCCCAGGAAGACTCACAGACAATGGCCAGGCCTGAGAGAGGAGCAGATACCAGCAGTGGGGAGTCAGAGTGAACAGAGGCAGATGGTCAGGACATCAGGGCTGCTACAGCAGCCATGGCCTGGCATACACCACTTCCCTCTAGTGGAGACACTGGCTTCTTGCTGGATTATCACGGCACGTGGCAACACAATAGCAGGTTGACCAGTTTTGACAAGTAGGGACACAGTCAAGAGACTAAGCTAGAGGAACACAACACAATTCTGAGTGGCAACACAATAGCAGGTTGACCAGTTTTGACAAGTAGGGACACAGTCAAGAGACTAAGCTAGAGGACAGGCCAGACACAGGTGCCAAGCTGAGGCAAAAGATCTGAGAAGCTGTAGTCAGACTCCTGAAATGCTCCAGTCTGCAGCAAGATTAGGCCGAGCATCTGGAGTAGAAGCTGAGCCCCCAGAGCGGGTTAGGTGACAGTTACAGGGAGCCAGAGGGCCACTGCAGTCATCATCATTTATGAACACAACTTTCTTCTGTTTTGAGACTATATGTGAAGAGTCACTGAGAGCCATAGACTCCCATTCAGTGAAAGTACAGGGGAGGTGGAAGGTTAACAAAGCTCACCAGAGATCCCTGAAAGGCTCAGGGTCAGGAACTTTCCTAGGAGCTGTAGTGAATGATGTCATGAGTTAGTTATATCTCCAGTTCTCCCCCGGAAACTGATTGTGGGAGGGAGACCATCTCATCCCAGTTGGCGCAGGACTTTCTCAGACTGAGCCTTTAGTCTTGTATCTCAGGCCCCTTGGGTCCCAGCAAACGAGATGTTGGGTCACCCTTCAAGTGCAGGTCTCCTGAGTCGTTAGATCCACTTCTCATCTTACTGCACTCACCCCCCTCCCCCAAAGCAGGGAGGGAGCAGCAGGCACCTGAGAGCTCAGGAATAGCCCAGACTTCACAGAAGGAGGACAAGACCTCAAGGTCTCCCTTTAGTCAGCAGCACAGAAAGTGTCACTGACAACCCAGCACCTGCAGAATAGGAACAAGAAAGGAGCAGCAGGAATTGTGTCCCTGGTTATAATGTTAAACTGCAGAGGAAGGAATACAAGGCTTTTTTAGGGTCCCTGGGCAAGATCTTAGTACAATTGTGTTTTCCATTCTGGATCCTATTTTTTTTTCTTTTATCATAACTAGCAGTAATGTGGTCCTTTCTATTAAAAAATGTGTAAGTTCTTTCTAAAAATGCCATTTACATTTTCATTTCCTTCTTCAAAAGCTTAGGAAGTCTAGGATACAGCAGGAGAACTTCACTTTGACAGGCCCCAATTTAGTCTCCTGAAAATGTTCTACTACACCTAAATATACGCACCCCAACAACACTGGTCACCATTTATTCCACTTGGGGTGACCTGGGAGATGTCTGAGTACACTCAGCATTTTCCTCATTCGAGTGCCATTCCTCCTCACTGCTGAGGGGTGATCTGCATCCCAGTGAAACTTTTCAACAAGTCTCTTCTTACATAATGACATAATTTGCCAAAGAATACTTCCCTTCACTATGAAGTGACTCCCACTCAGGAGACCTTTCCACCCTTTCTCATCAACATGCCAATTATTCATAATAACATGTTACAGCACCAGAGCCCAAACTCTCCTCAGCACTCCACATCCATGAGCTTATCTCCCTGCACCCCCTCATTCCTGCTGTTCCAAAGGATTACCATTAGTCACTGAAGGGCCTTCTGTTTAAAGGAGAGTCCTTTCAGATGGGAGAGGTTACCTGCTGTGATATACTCTCCATTCGCAGTGCTCTACACTTTCAATTTACTGTGCACTGTGTCAAAAAAAAAAAAATTCTGAGCGTGCCTTCAAATAAATATTTCTTAAATTCCTATAGGGACCAATCATGGTTAAGGTCTAGAACAGCAGCAACAAAAAGTCATTGACTTTAAATCAGAGGAGAAAACAGTAATGAGTGAATAAGTAAAATAAACACATGCAGTCTGCTGGTAAAGTCACCAACAATGAAGCAGGGGATGGTGTGTGTGTGCACATGAGCACATACGCGTGACAGGAGGACTGGGCAGTGTGGAGTGGCCTCTCTGAGGAGGTGACATGTGAGCAGAGTGTTGAATGAAGCCAGGGACCAGCTATGGAAAGAGCATGCTGGGGACAGGACAGGTAGGACAAAGGTCCCAAGTGTTCACAGAGGAACAAGAAGACCTTTGTGAAGAGTGGGAGTTTATTCTAACAGAGTTCTCATCTGGCAAATTATAGGACTTCCCTGATGATTTAAACACCACTCTGCTGTGTGTAGAGATCAAGCTGAGGTCTGGGGCATGGTTAGAAGCAGGAGATGCTTTCTGGACATTTGTAGTAGCACAGGTGAGAGAGGACAGTGGACTGGGTTAGAATGGCGGCTACACAGTAGTAAAAATTAAAGTGACAGTACAAAATGCATACGTGTTTTCTTAACTGATTTTTTTGATGGGGTAAACAACCCAGGTATAATGTAGAACCTAGCTTAAACCCTCTTAAGTGTTCAGTAAGATGGTATTAAGTACATTCCTTTGGTTGTGCAGCCACCATTGTTGTTATCCAGCCCAAGAATTTTTCAGCATCCAAACAGAAACCAAGAACCCGTTAAACAATAACTCTCCATCTGTCCCTCCCTGCTGGCCCTAGTGACCACTGTTTTACTCCAAGACTATGAATTTGCCCATCTAGGTTTGTCATGTAAGTGAAATCTGGCAGTGCTGCTGCAAAGATCCAATGTGAAGGGCGCGTTCAGGAGGACCTGCTTTCAGGCTGGGGACCAGACTTCACGGGAACTGCTTGGTCGTCCTTAGAGACAAAGGCTTCTCCCAACAGTGGGGCCGATGAGCACCCACATGGAGCAGGTGTTCACAGGGAAGAAGGAGCAATGAGAACCATTCTCAGATAATCAGAACAAAATCCTTGAGATGGAGGGAAGGGACGAGACGTGCTGCAAAGGTGAGGGAGGGCGGGGAAGGGTCGGCCTGCCCAGCGGAGGGGGCCAGAGCCTGGGGCCCACAGGGTGTAGGAAGACGCATTTTCTGCTGGGAAGTTAGGTAGTTCTCTGTGGGAAGCTTCTCCAGCGAAAATGAAGTTAGAGCAGGCCACCCAATAGAGTATGGAAGGGGAGGAAATGTAGGGGACAAAGAGAGGAAAGAACGCCCGTGTTGGTAAGCACTGGGTGCGTGGACAAGGGAGATGTACTGTGTTGTACAGCAACCTGGGCCCATTTGCTCTCTGTAGTCCTGA